TCTTCCTCAAAAACTCTCATATGATAGATTTCTTTTAACTTTTTGTCTTTAGCCACATATAAAATACAAAATATAGTTAATTTATACAAGTAACAAAACTTCCTTTATTGTTTATATTTTAACTTATCAAATTATTTTATGAAATAACAGAACAAGCCTGAGTTTAACAATTAAATATGAACACTTTCATGTCTGATTAAGAACAAGAAACTCCTATTTTCACAAGCATATACATGTGCAGGTATGTTGACACAGTATTTTTGGTAGCCACTTCATGTTACTTACCAAGTTGCACAAGTGTGTGTAATATCTGATACACACAAGCTGCAATTGGACTGACTATGGCAGGTGTGGGAGGCAGAGTTAGCACTGGGCTGTGCCCTCTTTACACAGTTTTCAGTTGCCACCTACACAGTCTGTGTTGGGGCACTGAGCAGAGGCGTCATGAAAAATATTGTTAAAAATCTCATAATAATGTTTAAAAATTTTACAGTCCTGTGGGGCCACATTACTGTGTCCAGGGTTACACTTAGCCCCCTGAATTTAGGTTGGACATGCCTGCCTTAAAGCCTCTTCTATCCTTTCTATATTTTTTCCTTTGTTCTGTATTCTTGGTAATACCTCAGTTTTATCTTCGAGTTCATCAATTCTTGCTTCAGCTGTATTTAACTTAGTGTTTAATTTATCTGCTGAATAATCAAGTGTTTACCTTTTACTGAAAAAGTTTAAGTTGAGATGACAATTCTGCCAGGCAGTGTGGCAATATAGACTGAAATACTTTAAATTTTTCATCTTTTTAAATTACGCAAATATATTTTAGAAATTTCTCTTAGAAACTCATTTATTTACTCATTATATTATGGTAGCAGTACCTATTTCAGTGTTCCTTATTGTATAAATATAAATGGGTTGTTTTGGTTCTTTTTGGTACTGGGGATTGAATTCGGGTCCTTGTGCTTGCAGAGCAGGTGGCGAAACCACTGAGCTAAATCCCCGGCCCCTATAAATGTTTATTGTTAAGGAAATGATTAAAATTCACTATCCATAAAGTAAATACCATTCAGACAGTAATGTAACTAAACAAAATATTATGGAAAATATTTGACATATTTAAGTAGAATAAAGCATGTAAAGCATGTTACAAAGGAATATCCATAATGAGAACATATTTTTTGAAAGGAAAAATAGCATGTTAGCAAAGAAAAAAATGCTATTAAGATATACCTCAAAATGCTCATTCTAACTCTGGTCACTTTGAGTTGAAGGAATTAAGAATAATTTTCATTTTTTCATAATTATTCCATTTTTTCTACAATACCTAAAATTCTCTTGTTAAAATAAAACAAATATGTTTTTGCAATATTTATCTTTTGATAACACAAAAATGGTTCTGAACAAAAAAATTAAGTCCTTTGAAAATTAAAGAAGTTAATGTAGAAGGCAATGTAGTACAATTTCAGTGCAACTTGAATCTATGAAAATAAGATTTATTGTGAAGGCTAACCTATAGATGTTTGGCCACATGGAGAATAAAGGCAAACCAACAGATTCTAAAGTTTTATGACCAGGAGCATGGTGATGTTAGAAAATGAGAGCTATAGAATTGTGTTTCATATAGACCCAAACTATACTTTATTCTTTTAAAGGTCTACCTAGGAAAATTTGCTTCAAAAAAACCAGCTGACTTCTCTGTCTGATACTACTCTTTCCTGAGTGAAAAGGATAAAAATGAGCCTATTTATTCATGAATTCAGCAGAAAGCACTGAGCAAGAACTCTGTGATACATACCATTCTAAGACATAGCCATGAACAAACATTCCAAGATTACTAATTTAATGTAATCCGCCTGTGGAATGTCAGACTCTTCTTTCCCCAATATCCCTTCTTCAATTCCTTCAGAGTGCTTTCAAAACCAACTCCTCTGAGAATCTTTCATCTATGACCAATAACCCCATCTTAGGTTCCTAATGCCAAGTCTAATGAGTTGATTCACAGCAGCCCTAAACGTTGCATGACAATATCATTTGGGCTCGATGGAAAACAATCCCACACTTGATTAGCGATGCCTGGCAAGGCCTCTGAAGGTAGAAGGGTCAGGAAACGTACTAACCACCCTGTTTCTCATCCCATTGCCTCCAGCCAATCATGGCTCCTGCTTACTTTTATTAATGCATTATGCTTTAAAAGCACAGCCTCAAAGATATCTCCTACTCACAGAGTACCCCAAATGAAGATAATATAGACATAATACAAGCTGACTGGGGAGTACCATGTGTATGGTTTATGTCTTGATGAAATTTAAGAATCCAAACCTCTTAAGAGCTATTGTGCTTTGTATGATGCCCTTTCTCCTGTGAGAATGAAAAGAGGTAATGGATAAAAATCTATGCTGAATCATATAAATCTGGCCAGCCATTTTCTTTGGTCATTGATAGTGAAAGCTTTAATATGGGGTCTTGGCTGTGACCCCAGATTATTCTTCTATTTGTGTCCAGCCTTCTGGGCTTGACCTGATTCCAAGGGGAATGCTGTCACAATGAGAATTTTTCCAGCCTCCTTCGCTGAGTATGCTGCTATGAATTGAAGGTGCCTCGAGGCTCAGGTTTAAGTTGAAATCACTGGGGTGTGTGTGTGTGTGTGTGTGTGTGTGTGTGTGTGTGTGTGTGTGTGTAAGTGGAAGATGTTCTGAGATTTTTCCACAGAATCCTCACACTTCCTTTCCTTCTAGTTCTGATACACTATGTCTCAACCTTGCTCCTTGCAGCTCACACTGCTTCTCTCCTCTCCCGCTCATCTTCTGACCCATCTAGGTAACCCATAAGCTCTAGCAAGGTCCATTAACTTTTGGTCTTCTAGATAGTCAACTGCTGTCAGGCTGCATCCTCAATGGAGAGACTCCTCAAAAGGGGCTGGACTCCTAGGTGCCTAAAAGAATGCTGGAAATGAAGAAGCTTAATTTAGATTAAGAAAAAGTCCAGGGGTGGTGTTTAAACCTGTAATCCCAGCCCTTGGGAGAATGAGGCAGGAAGATTGCAAGCTCAAGGCCAGTCTGGGCTACATAGTAAGATTCTGTCTCAAAACATAAACAAGAGAGAGAGAGAGAGAGAGAGAGAGAGAGAGAGAGAGAGAGAAGAAAGAAAGAAAGAGAAAGACCTTTATATTTCTGGATGCCGATTCCTTCTCTTAATTGACTTTTTTTTTTTTTTTTTTTTTTGCAGTACTGAGGATTGAATTGAATTTGGACCTTTGCACTTAGGTCCCAGCCCTTTTATTATTATTCTGTTTTTATTTTGAGACAAGTTCTCACTAAGTTGCTAAATTCCCTAGCCTGGGCTGAAACTTGTGAGCTCCTGCCTCAGCTTCCCAGAGTACGGAGATTATAGATTGTGGACCATCACACCCAGCTTGTCCTTACCCAAGGAAGTAAGGTAGGGCACAACTCCCCAAAGTGCACACAACTTAATCCAATGTAGGACATTCTTAGGACCCAATCAATGCCTGACTTCATGAGCATGGGAAGAAACCACCCAGAAGAGCAAGAGAAAGCAACACATTACTGTCAGAGCACAGCCAGGGGAACATCGGTAGAGAATACCTTGTGAAGATTATTAATGAGTATGTCATAAGAGCCAGGATCTCTACCTTGCTGAACACAAGATAGATTACATCCCTTATTTCTCCTCAATCCAGCAATGTTGTCATTCTGTCATAGAAGATTAAATCAGTTTAGACCCATTTGTAACAATGCCAGTGACCTGTTCTTCTGTAGATGTCTGAAAATTGATTTTTGTATGATTTATTGGATAATCTTTTCCGTCTAGAAATTATTAGCCAATAATTATTTGGATTCTTTTACTTTCAGTTTAAGGAAAACAAAAAGCAGCACATTATTGCTTTGTTGGCATAAGACACCTAAAAAAATTCTTTAAAATGAGACTAGAAGGCTTATGATGGCTTCCACCAATCCTCAGAGTTCTTTGATGGCAAGCCTCAGAGACTACAGGTAGGACAAATTGTGTTTCCTAATCACCATCTGCTCTTATGCAGACTAATATTGTTTCCTGCCCCCTCTCTCTATGAGCTGTCATTTTCCTACAGAAGCTGTCTATGAAGATAATCAACGAGATCAATGAACCCATTGTGCTTCGGGATCCCTTTCTAGAGGAAATTTCATGATTCTAATTATTTAACATGAAAATGTAAAGAATAAAACCTTGCATTCCATTATACCCTAGAGAGCCAATAAGGGGAGAGGACAATAAGCAGCAAAGTAAATAGGAAATGCAGCATTAAAGGTGACTTGAGCTCTTTCTCAGAAAATGAGAGGTGTGCAGGAAAGTGATTTTGGAACATGAAGCACTGTAAGACCCACTGATGAGTAAGACAGGGGAGATTTTCTTTATTCCAATTATCTGGGCAATAATCCAGCCATAACAAAGAGCTGTTTCTCCTTCACTATCGAGGTCTCCACTGAATAGAGTTTTTTTAAAACTGAAAACTACATTGGCCAACAGCAGTATTACCATGAAGGCCATTTTTGTCTTTAACAATACAATACCATGTATCTTTGCAGCATCCCCAATTTTCCTCTTCCCCTGCATACTCCAGTAACCCTCTGCTCACTGTTTTCCCTCTCAAGTGCTCTTCTCACCTTTAGAGACTTAGTTTGTTTTACTGAATATGTTATACCTGCAAATTGTTAGACTTATGCAAAACCTTAGGCCAAAGTAAGAATCCCAGCTAACATATTCAAAAGCAGATTATGAAATACTCTTTATTCTAATTATATATATATTTTTTTATATTTATATATATATATATTTTTTTTTTCTCAGAACTGACTCATATTGTAGGTGGGATGGAGGGCCCTACACTATAAATGAGGAAAGTGACATCCAGAAAAGTTAACTCTGACCAAATTCTCAAAAAGCTAGGTCTCACTTGACCCCCAAAATTCCTGTCCTTGACACAGTATGTTTCCTTATCTCAAATAAATTTTCAGGAGAAATATTTTATGCTTGATGTTTTACTCTTTCCAGTTCCTTAAGAAATTTATTTTATTAATTTATTTCATGTCTGATTTAAATTTCATCAAGAACTATGAGACTAGAATTTCTCAAAATCTTCCCAGGGCCCCAGGCACACTTACATCATCCTCTTTGATTGCCACCCCTGGCTGAGGTCACCATTGCTTCAGAGTCCACAGGGAAAAGCATAGAATTGCTCAAGACCTCCAAATAAGTTTTATTTTTGGATGTGATGAAGTATACCATGATCTTTCTCCACCAATGAAATACTGATAAAAGAGGTAGCTAGCATACTTCTCCATATTACTTTGGCCTAAAGAGAGAAATTAGATTCTTAGGTCTAAAATGCCTTGCCTATTTGCCATAGTTGTAGTCACCTCTCAACACAACCTTAGTACATGATGTTTGTATAAAAATAATCAAGTGAAAAATTCCATGTGGTTTTATTTTGTTCACATTTACATTTATGCCTATGGTAAAGTGTAGCATAGTTCTGATTTTTATATGTTACTTTATGCTTTCAGCAGGTATAAGATTAAGAATTAGCTGGAAGATTTCTTTGAGGACCACATTGTTCTCTATTAACTGTTTAGAAATACAGTTAATATAGGAAAGTAAGATAAATGCTTCACTTTTTCCATTTAAGTGTCAGTTGTCAGAGAAGAGGTAGTGCTCCATTTACTTCTCCTTGGTGTATGATTAAGATGTGCTTATGGTTTTAAATTTGTTTTTGATTTCTTTGTGTCTACTTTTCATTATAAACTAGTAAGTTTTTATGTACGGGTATGTTTCAAACCATTATATTCATTACCCTCATTGATGCCCAAACTATCCCATCTTGGTCAGCAGGAGGGCCCAGATTTCTTTGTCATATTACCCAGTAATAATGAAAAGTCTCCTGCTTGGGGCGCATTAAGAAGTCCCAGTCTTATCTTGTATTTACCAGCCCAAACCTGGTACAATCAGCCATCCCACCAAGAAGTCCTCCTTCTTTTAATGGGAAATAGTGTTTAGAGTCCAAAATCTGAGCCCTGGTGTGTTAACTACTATTGAGTTACCCTGTTTAATGGACAAAAAATAAGAAATAAGTATATTGGAAAGAAAATAAGTTCAGTTATTAATATTTTCATTTCTAAGTAAATATTAACAAGAATTTACTTCTTTTATAATTATATCTTTTATGCTGAAAATTTTGATGCCTAATCACAGTAACATAATTGTATTTCTATTGATTATAATGAATAATTAGATTAAAATAATTACTTCAATTAACAACAATTATGCTTCTAAATAAAGTCTAAGATTTTCTTGTGTATTGATGTGGGCTCAAAATGTACACCAGTAAAAATGTGTAAGCTAAATTGTATGCTATAAAGTGACTTAAAATAATTTTTCTGTGTGGTTATGACAGCTTAATATAAAATTATGTTAATTTATTTCAGTCTTTTATCGATTTTCAGAGATCTCTTTTTTTTTCTTATGAATTTAATTTTTAGAATGTTAAACTACATGATGGAGAAATTCTACTTCAGGCCAAGTTGGAGAAACAAGAGCTGGATTTACTCTTCTAAAGCTACTAAAAATTGAACAAAATAATTAAAGGAATGCTTTACAAGATACTAGATATCAGGTGTTAAAGGGACATTGATCCCTGAGAGAAAGAAAACAAATGATGTGGAACCTGTGATTGATTAAGTTTATTGAGGGGGGATCCTAATTCAGGGACAGACTTGTGCCTAATATAGGTGACAGATGCCCCAAATTGATGAACAAGAGCTGTGAATTCAGGAACACCAGTATGGCTCTAGTTTGTAATGTGGAGTTCAAAAGAGGAAAGAGCTGCAGAGAGAACTTTAGATAAGAACAGAGGCTCCTTCTCCAAGTATTCCACAGAGAGCTGATTACTATACTACTGAAATCCTTTGCAAGGCCTGGGAAGGGGTGTCCCAAAAGATTAGAGGTAAGAGTACTCAGTGCACACTTAGGCCGTGCTCCCACCAGCCACCCTGCCGAAGTTTGTAATTCACAGGACACTTGAGTACCCAGAAGGGTTTTGTCTTAATAGTTGGTAATAATTAGCTCTAAACTAACCACTGTTCTGACTCTACTAAATAATAGAAATAGCATGACTCAAATGAATCAAAGTGCTGCCAAGTAACTTAACCCCATCCTAGAAGAAAACCTAAGAACATTGAGAAGAAGGCAAAGATATCAAGCAACAAAAAAGGTAAAAGTCACAATGTATGGCCTGTAATAAAATGTTACCAAACACGCAAAGTAGGAAAATAAAGTCTGTCAGACAAAAATGCAATCAAAACATATACAGAAATGGGCCGGGGGATTTGGCTCAGTGGTTTCACTGCCTGCTGTGCAAGCACAAGGACCCAAGTTCAATCCCCGGTAAA